TGTGCGGGCCGGTGTGGCGCCGCGCCGCCGCGGGCCGGTTGCCGTCGGTCACTGCGTTTTCTTCTCTTCCGGTCCGGGCCTCAGGGTGGCCGACATGTCGGCCCCAGGTGAGAATCCCCTCCTGCCGCTGTTGGAGACTTTGGAAGATTCGTGCGCCTCCCCTGGAGAGCTGACCGACGCTTACCTCGCTCTGACCAGGTGAGGACCGTTGGTGGAGGGAGGCTTCGGCGCTCTAGGGGCCAAAGAACATGGTTGTATGGGGAGCGCGAGCGCGGAAACAGTTCCCATTCGTCTGCATTGGCAGAAGTAAGGACGTCGGGGTCGCGAACCATTCGGGGTGCTTACGCTGTGCAGCGTTCCTGGTTGCAGCACCTGAAGTGTTTATTTGGATGAAGGGACCTGCACGTGTGTCTTGGAAGCCAGGAATTAAATTTTAAAAGTGTCAGCTGGAAGCGGTTGGAGGCGTGGTCTTCAGTACTCCCTCTCCCCTTGTATTGGGGAAATGGCAACCCAGAATTGGTTTTTAGAGTGTTAACCTGGTTTTTGTAATTGCAAAATAAGATTTGTAAATTTTTGTCAAGGGTCTTATAAGGTTAGCAGATTTGTAGGGACTACCTTTCCGTTTTCACCTGTTCAAAGTGACAAAATTTGAATTTGCTGTGGAGGCAAAATCATTTTAATTAAAGTCATTTTAATGTAAGCGGTATTACCGCCTACATTTATATACGGGTTAATTCGTATATTTTTTGTAGTTTTTGTATCTTAAGCACTGGGTCGTTTTGGAAATATTGAAAGTTATATTTAAAAATGTAATACAAAGAAAAAAATATAGTACAGGTATTTAAGGCGGTTGAATCCAGTATTTTGTTTAAGTCTTAAACTTATATTCTCTTGCTTTCAAGTCGTATGACTGGAGAAGGAAAAGAAGTCATTCTAGAAATTGAGAAAAATCTTCCTCGGCTGCACAGAGTTTTAAAGGTCTGTATTAAATAGTTTTTCACTTTGGGCATTAAAACCACCTAACTGACCTATATGAGCAATCTGAAATATTCACTGGATACTTCGTATTGATTACTTAAAAGTTTTTCAGATACTCTTAATTATCTTGCCTATTTTCTTATTTTTCCAAAATCTGAGTTTTTGCTTTTTAAATTTTTTTGCAGTGAGGATGAAACCCAGAGTCTCAAACATTATGTGTTCTGCCACTAAGCCACACCCCTAATCCCTAAGTTTACTATTTAATTCCCATTTTGCAGATGAAGAAATTGGTTTAATTTGTCTTAAGTTGGCTAGGGCTTTTTGAATCCAAAGGCTATGCTTTTATTTTTAAAGCAGTGATCAAAGAGTAATCTGTTTTGTTACCTTTTGGAAATGTACAGTACTTCTAAGTTAATGATTCTAAATTTAATTGTCCTTGGTCTACTCTGTAGAAAGCATTCATATTTCTTATTTTCACTCACTCTGTTTTTTCCATTTATGCTGGTTAGAAAATAGTTATCGTTATTTTTTATAGGGAGGTGGTATAGTTTAAAATCATACCTTTTTTTCTTGACTACTTGGCTTCACGACCTTACTTGCTTGACACCTAACATTTTTATTTTGTTTTGAGACAGGGTCTTCTGTGTAAGTCCAGGCCATCTTTTGAACTTGGCAGTTGGTCCTCCTGCCCCAGCTTCTCCAGTGCTGGAATTATAGGTGTGTGCCACCACACCTGGCACACCTAACTTTGTAATAGTCTGGTTTTTGGTTTTTATCCCTGTCCCCCGCACCCCAAACAACTCAGGACCTTGCGCTTGTGAGTCAGGCATGGATGGCACCACTGAGCTAAATCCCTGGCTCTAATAGTCTTGTTTTTAGAATGAAAAGGTTGAAATAAGTCTCAAAATTTTATTTTTAGAGCTCTGTTTTTCAGATAAGTATTCTTTGAAACATTCTTGTGGGGGTTTGGGGGCATTGCTCAGTGGTAAAGCACTTGCCCAGTGTGTACAAGGCCCTAGGTTGAATTCAATGCCAAATGAATAAAATTATTGTATATTAGCATGCTTTCTGGCTAAACATTAAAGCATTTGAGATGTTGACTTAAGTATAGCTGAAATAACATTTTTTTCCACATAAACAGGTTATTGTGTAATATTTATTTAGTATTATATATTAATATCATTTCGCTTTCCTTCATTATTATATTCTACATTCCAGCAGTATATTTGATGTGAAGACATGCACCTTCATGTACAGTACTTAATATTTGAGAGCAAATGGGATCAGAAACCCTATTGCATGAATTTTGAGTCAAGTTGCACTGTTTCAAACTAGGTTTGTATATAAAATTCCTGATGAATTATCTGGAAGCACATGGAAGGTTAGTAATAGAACAGTCAGTAGGAGTTTTACATGAGAATTAAAAGGAAAATTGAATTCCTTCAGAGTAGAAACCACATTAAAATAGAATGTTTGAATGTATGTGACTGTTTAGAATTCTGCTGGAATTGTCCACAGACTTACCATTTTTTCTTATTTTTTTTTAATTTTTATTTTGTGGCCCTGGGGACTGAACCCAGGGCTTCAGGGAGGTAAGTGGTCCGTCTGTCACTGATCTACATCTCCAGCTCATCTACATTTTTGAAGACAAGACTAATTATTGCTTGGGATTATAACTGGTGAAATACTTGCTAGGTCTAGACTGAGGGTTAGATATTCAGTACTATAAGGAAACTGACACTGTTCATGTTTGTGAGGAAATCTGTTTATTGCGAGGAAATCTGTTTAATAAAAGGTGATTACAGCCTGCTCTCTAGTAGAAGACTGAGGTAGGAGGATCACAAATTCAAGCCCAGACTTAACACTTTAGCAAAACTGCATCTTGAGGGGCCGGGTAAAGATATAGCTCAGTGCTGCCACTGCCTCCCTCACAAGCACAAGGTCTTGAGTTAGCTCCCCGTTTAAAAAAAAAAATGCATCTTGAGAAAGGTCTGGGAATGTAGCGCAATGTGAAGGCACTGGCTTCACCTCCAGTACTAAAAGGAAAAAAATCATAGCTATGTGCTAGCTATTGTCCAAGAGATAAGAGTATTAGCTCTCAAAGTCTTAGCCTTATTTGGTTATTTGAGCAAGTTGCTGTAATCTCTTATACTCCAGGTTTGGTCTTTTGGTTTTTCTTAATTCCTAAATAGGTACTCTGAGCTGGCCATGGTGGTTCATGTCTGTAATCTCAGAATCTGTAATCTCATCATTTGGGAGGCTCAGGCAGACAGGTAGATATAAGCCCAGCCTGGCACTGTATGGAAAATTTTTTAAAAGGACTGAGAAGGATACACGATAGGAAGGTCCTGGATTCACTCCCAGGACCACAAGAAATGATTGAGAATTGTTTTAAAGTACCTAACACATTAGGTACTTAGGAAATGTTACATGCCAATCTTTTTCCTTTCCCAGATTTAGAGAAATGTCTGTCCACTGAATACTTGGTTGATGATTTTGCATTCGATCCTTTTGCTTACTTTTTGCTTCTTTGTGGAGGGTTCTTGCTCCTTTTCTTTATTTCTTGTCTAATAATTTTAGCAATTTTCATCCGTTGGCTTTTTTATATTGCTTTTACGTGAATATTCTTTATCTGTTAATAAAAATGCTCTTTCAGTTGATCTTTGTCTAGTTTCCTCCTTTCTTTGCCAGACTATGTAGTTTACTTTCTAATCTTTTTCACTGGCACTCAAAGGTTTGTTGGTTGGTTTTATTAAAATGTAATGAACTGCTTATTTTATAATTGACTTTTGACTTCTAAATTATTCTGCAGTTGTACTTGTTTTTAATAAAAGTGTTTCTGTTTTTGTAGATTCACATTTCCAGTCAAAACTCAGAGCTGAGTAGTGCTGCTCTTCAGGCCTTGGGCTTTTGCTTGTATAATCCCAAAATTACTTCAGGATTATCAGGTAGATAAATTTATTTATGACCATTGATGTTCAATTTTAAACTCTAATTGTGTTAGTACTGTTATCTCCAGATAAGTTTCCTAATTTATGGCTTAGGATTTACTCTTCAGAAGGAATGTTCAGATTATGTTTAGATTGTCATTGCCTAGACAGTTCAAAGTTTGGTATTATAAAATGTGTAGAGGGCCAGGATTTAGCTCAGTGGTGATACTGCCTACCTCACAAGCTCAAGGTCCCGAGTTCATTCCCTAGTACCAAAAAAAAAAGTAGAAAATATTTAAGTATAGTTATAGGCTGGGATTATAGCTTAGTGATAGAGTTTACAAAGCCTTCCATCTGATCCTCAACGCATGTACATGTGATTGCTGTAAAAATGGAATGTTTTGAAAGGAAGCATTTTAATTTGAAAGGTAATAATAAATCATTTGATTATTCAGGCATATGCCCTAACAAGCATGCTGAATTCAAAAGTTCTTTTACAGTGGTAATAAATGTGGAATTGAAAATACAGAATCTGATCTATTTTTGAAGAAATAAATACTGTTATTTAGTTAGTAGTTTGCCATTGTAAGGGAAATCTAGGAGGTCATGTTTAGAGGAAAACAAGAGTAGATAATAAAGATACCGTAAAGTTGGCTGTCAGCTTTTTTTCCCTAGTAAAAGATTGCTGCTTGTTCTTTTTTATGTGTAGAAGTGAAAACAACCCAAGGTATTTAATTTTGGAGCAGAGTTATGGTATCCCCCCCCCCCAATAAGAGGGATCAAACTTAGGACCTTGCACTTGAGAGGCAGGCACAGCATCACTGAACTAAATCCCTAGCCCCTGGGATTTGTTTTTTATTTATTTATTTTTTTCCTTGAGACAGGGTCTCACTATAGTTCAGGCTGGCCTTGAATTTACTTTGTAGCCCTGGCTAGCATTATGAGATTTTGAGATTTAAGCATTGCGGAAAATGGTCTTATGTGTTCTTCATTATCCGAGTTATCTCAGTTGTACATGTCCTCTTGGAGTCTATAGCTATATTTGTTTTCACTGAATGCACTTTCCCCTCTTCTCTGGATTTTGTATTTTGAAAAATTTGTATCAGTGGTGGTTTTGTTCCTTTGGTTCTATATTTAACTTTTTGGATAGAGAAGTATGTTACTATTCTTTAACGTGAGATTTTAAACGATTGTAAACTATTGCAGTAATTAAAATGAAGATTGCTTCCTTTTTAGAAACAAATATTCAAGAACTGCTTTCAGAATTGAATAACATTGTTAAAAGTTCAGACAAAAATGTACGTACCAGAGCTCTTTGGGTGATATCCAAACAGACATTTCCCACTGAAGTTGTTGGCAAAATGGTGAGTGTAGTTTTTGTTTGTCTTAACTATATGGCAATAAAGACAATTCTGGTCTATTTGATTTGTATTTATATGGTTCTGTCTTTTAGGTATCCAGTATAATTGACTCATTAGAAACAGTATTCAATAAAGGAGAGATACATTCCGCTGTTGTTGATTTTGAAGCATTAAATGTTATCATAAGGTATGGTTCTAGGTACTATGCAAATTGGAATAATTGTTTTGCAGGTTTAATTTTTTGGTGGTTTGTTTTTTTGAGACAGGGTCTCACTATGTAGTTGAGACTGACCTGGAACTCACTTTGTAGCCCAGACTGGTCTTGAACTCATAGGGATCCTCCTGTCTCAGCCTCCCAAGTGCTGGGATTGCAGGTGTGCTCCACCACACCCGGCTGTATGTTTAGAATTTAAGGATTACACTAGGTTTGGTGGCATACACCTGTAATCCCGGAAACTACACAGAATCCCAGTACTCAGGAGTTTGGTGAGGTAGGAGAATCTGCAGTTGGAAGTCTGACTAGGTTACAGCAGTGAGTTCATAGCCCGCCTGAAATACACAGACTTCTCAAAAAAGCAAAAGTAAAATTGCTTAAAGGATTGGACTTTTGGGATATATTTCCTGTGGTACGGGGAATTCAATCTGGAGCTCCAGCTGACTTGGGGTTTTGGTATAAAGTAGATGTTAAAAGAAGGAAATATCAGGAGGGGGATTTGGCTCAGTGGTTTCACCGCCTGCCTTGCTAACGCAAGGGCCAGAGTTTAATCCCTGGTACCAAAAAAAAAGAAGGAAATACCTTTTAGACCACAAAGTTAAAGGAAAAGAAAAGAGGAAGAAGAAGATGGATGTAGATTTCCATAAATTGCTGAATTTTAAATTTTTTACTGGGAAGTTTTAAAAAGTAAACTCTCAGTTATGTTTCTGCTGATAAAAGGCAGTTCTGGTTTTAACATATTCCCTGCTAAAGCTTTTTGCAAGAGCTTTAAAAATATACAAATTTGTAAGTGGACGAGAGGGGTTGCTTAGGAAGATAGTTACAGTGCCTATCAGGGAACAGAAAAATCCCTTATTCTTCTTATCCTACCCTCCTTCAACAAGCTAACAATACAAGCTGTTTCATTTTCAAATTTTTTAGTTGAATTGTTTCATATTGTAATGCTTATATCATGGTTTGCTGGCTGTCTTCTATAAGAATGTCGAGTTTAGTAGTGTAACTAATTGGTATTATTAAATTTTATATTTGGCTTTCTGAGACAGGGTCTTGCCATGCAGTTCAGGCTTTGAACCCTATTTAACCCATGCTCCTCTTGTACTCAGTGGCTATTCTCCTGCCTCAGCCTCCGGAGTCATGTGCCACCATATCCGGCTAAATTTTCAGTCTAAAGAAATGTGTTATCCTTATTTAAAAATTTTTGTAAAAACTGGCTGGAGGCTTAGCTCTGTGATGGAGTGCTTGCGTGTACAGCGTAAGGCCCTGAGTTCAGTCCCTAACACCACCCCCAATTCCAGAAACTTTATAGAAGTATACAAATTAGCAAGTAAAGGTTTGGTCTCTCTCTCTATGCACAATGTATATTTTCTAAAACAAATGGGCCATTAAGTGCAAAAGAGCCCTCTCGTTGTGTGGTTTGTTTGTTTTTTTTTGATACTGGGTTTGAACTCAGGACCTTGTACTTGCCAGGCAGTCACAGCACCGCTGAGCTGCATCCCTGGCCCACTTGTGTAAATTTCATTATGTTACTTCTTTTCCTTGTGGTATAAAGTGAGGTCCCGCTTGATTTCTCTATTACAGGCTAATTGAACAAGCACCAATTCAGATGGGAGAAGAGTCGGTAAGGTGGGCAAAGTTAGTCATACCTTTAGTGGTTCATTCAGCACAGAAAGTACATTTGCGGGGAGCCACTGCTCTGGAGATGGGAATGCCATTGTTGCTTCAGAAACAACAAGAAGTAGCATCTATTACAGAGCACCTTATGACTACTGTAAGTATTATATTATGTAGGGATTTTCTGAATACTGCATTGGAAGGTTCTGTACTAAGCCTAAATTTAAATACAGTCTGGGGTCATACTGGTATAACTGTATTATGATCTAGGGTTTAAACTTAGAATTAAAACAGTTGAATAAAGAATTGCTTAATTTAGTGTAGACAGATTTCTCCTATTTAATAATGCAGAAGAGAATTGTCTTTCTATTACAGTCTAGATATAACGTTCATAGTGAATAGAAAGTGGATATAGAGTAGTTAACGCTGATTTAGTACTGTTTGGTTATTGTATAATTCCCAGTAGATATAAATTCAACACAAAAGCTCATCTAATCTGCAATTTTCTACTTAATATTTGCTTCAGGTCTTAGGTTTATGATCCTTTGTTCTTATAACATTTGTTGAGCATCTGTTATATGCAGTGCACTGGCATACTGTAGTGCTTATTTTCTAGTGTAAAAAAGAGAGGAGGTATATAGTGTATTAAGTGAAGAATACTATGGTGCAGCAGGCACAGCAAGGAGAGGAGTAATGAGGTGGTCATGGCAAATTAAAAAATTCAGACATTAGAATAGTGATAGTGATGGCAAACCTATTAGAGGCTCGGTGCCCAGATTGCAACCCAAAACCCCTGCTCAGCTGCTGGGGTGATTTGGCCAACAGACTGCCCACTGCAACACGTGTGCCGTAGGTTCACCACCACTGCATGAGAACAGTGTCTTGAAGGGAGTATGGAAGTTAGCCATGTGGACAATATGTGGTAAGTTTGTTCCAGACAAGGAAACCATGAGTGCAAGAGGGCCTGCTCTTACTGTGCACCAGTTGGTGTTTAGGGAATACCTTGCCATGTGGCAGCATTGGGAATGAATGAGGATAGCAGAATGAAAGATAATGTCAGAAGAACAAAGGACATAATCAGATGAAACATTGGGGGACCATTGTTTTTACTTTGTATGTGGTATTAGGGATTGACCTCAGGGAGCACTGAGCTACATCCTTGGCCCTTCATTTTTTTATTCTTTTGCAGTACTGGGGATTTACCAGGATCTCACACATGCTAGGAAAGTACTGTACACTAAGCTACATCCCCAGAGTGGCTCCCACTACCTTTTCTGGTTTTGTGTGTATGTTTGTGTGTGTGTGTGTGTGTGTGTGTGTGTGTGTGTGTGTTTGAGACAGGGTCTCACTATGTAGTCAAAACTGACCTGGAACTCATTATGTAGCCCAGGCTGGTCTCACAGTGCTTCTCCTGCCTCACCCTCCCGAGTGCTGGGATTACAGGTGTGTACCACCATTCCTGGCTTTTATATTTTGTTTTTTGAGATGAGGTCTTGTTAAATTATCAGACAGGGCTCCTGAGTAGCTGGCATTACACATGTGAGCCACTTCCATCCAGCTTTACTCTGACTTTAATAGCCCTGTTTGAATGTTCTGAGCCTGTATGTGATACGTACTGGCTCAGATTTTATCATACTTTCTTGTGGAGCTGAGGATTGTACTCAAGGCCTTTGCACTGAGGCCCACCCTTAATTGTTTATTTTGAAATAAGGTATCACTAAGATTCTAAATTGCCAAGTTGTCCATGTAAAGGGATCGTTCTTACTGTGGTTAGCATGTGAATGTTTGAGCAGGAGCTAGGGAGACTAGATGGATTACAAGATACAGTACTGCAATAATTCAGGCAACGAGGGAGCCTGGATTCAAACAAACAAACAAAAATAGACCTGTTTGTAACATTTAATAAAGTAAGTTAAATATCTTTTTTTTCTTTTTTTGGTACCGGGAATCGAACTTGGGTCCTTGCGTTTTGAGGCAGGCCACCAAACCGCTGAGCTAAATCCCTGGCCCTAAGTTAAATATCTTTTGAGAATAGTTTTATTCTGAGAAGTGTATTTATATTTAATAGCATTTATAAAATTCCATTTTTGTTTTTTTGGGACTGGTCTCACTGTGTTCCAGGCTGCACTCAAACTTGATATGTAGTCCAGGCTGACCTTTAAGTTGGGGATCTACCTGCATCAACTTCTAAGATGCTGGGATTAGAGGGATGTACTATCATTCCCAGCTATTTATACATTTGAGTTTAAATTTTCTTAGATATTTCTTATCCATAAAACTAATTATACATGTTTTTTAATTAGTGTGACATTACTACATTATCCTTTGAGCTTTAGTTAAAAATACGCATCCTGAACAGGGTGTGGTGGCGCACGTCTCTAATTCCAGCACTCAGGAGGCTGAGGCAGGAGGATTGCTGTGAGTTCGAGACCAGCCTGGGCTACATAAGTGAGTTCCAGGTCAGTCTCAACTACATAGTGAGACCCTGTCGCAAAAAAACCAAAACCAAAACAAAACAAAAAAAACGCATGCTGAAATTTTCAGGAGAAAGTATTCAGGTAGGAAAAAATATGATGGATTGATGGGTGGTGGGATGACCAGATATGTGATAAATGTTGTGGTAAGTATGTATATTTAATGTTTGGACCTTGGTGTTTTGTTTGAATATATATTTTTTTGGTACCAGGGATTGGACTTGGGTCCTTGCGCTTGGGAAGCAGGCAGCAGCACCACTGAGCTAAACTCATGTCCCCATGTTTGAATATTTACTGTAAAACATTTCAGATTTGCTATGTGTTTTGAAGCTTTCCTTGTTTTTTGGGGAGAGGGATAATTGTAATAATTTTATTTGAGAATTTTTGTGAGTTATTTCTATACTTTTTTTCCTCTGCACTTAATGATACTGGATTTTTTCCTTTCCATGAAGATTTGTTAAATATTTTACTTTTGTTTGCAGAAATTAATCTCAGAACTTCAAAAGCTATTTATGAGTAAAAATGAGACCTATGTTTTAAAATTGTGGCCCTTGTTCGTCAGACTTCTTGGAAAGGTAAGTGCCATTGGTTTTTCTTTTTTCTTTTTTTGGTACAGAGGATCAAACTCTGGTCCTTGTGCTTGCAATGCAGGTGGCAGAACCACTGAGCAGTAAGTCCCATTGAATAGTCCATGCTTCCCGTGTGCCAGATCCTTGAATTTTTTTTTTAACTTTCCATAGTTCAGTCCATCTTTGTTTATTCCTGTTTGCTTTTTTATATAAGCATTCAATTTATAAAACCCTCATCAATACTTAATATCATTTGTAGATAGGCACAGAGTGGTAAAGAATTTGACTTACTCAGAGTGTGATTTCAGCTAAGGTACAGAAAGTTTTGTTTTGTTTTTTTTTTCTTTATCTTTCAAGTTCTAAACAAGTGTCTTTTTCATGGTCCATTTAGTTATAAATTTTTTGTACCTCTTTTCTTTTGGTGATTTCATTGTTTGAAACTGCCCAGTAAAAAGCTTAAGTGCTGTCTAGTTTCTGAGTACAGAAAGGTTGTGTTGTGATGTGTTAAATAACCTTTGTTCTGGCATGAGCTTTGAGTTCAGTGGTATGTTAACATATACCAATAAGGTATCCTTAAATGGATAAACATAAAAAGTTATGTAATGAAAACCATAAAACCTTGGTTTGTGAGCATGATTCTTTTATTTTGGTAGTGGGCATCAAACTTGGGACCTTTTGCTTGTGAGGCAGGCTGTGGCACCACTGAGCTAAATTCCTGGCCCATGATTCATTTCTAAAAATGCTTTAATACAAAACATTTGAACATCAAAGCTAATTTCCCCATACATAATGATGGAAACTTAGATGATTTGTTCTACAGCCCAAAGGTAGTCAAAAATTTGATTATAACTGTAATACAAAAATAATAAAACAAAATATAAAGAATAAATTAACCTGCACTTAATCTTTTTTTTTTTTTGTTACCGGGGATCGTACTCGGGACCTTGTGCTTGCAAGGCAGGTAGGTAGTGGCACCACTGAGCTAAATCCCCAGCCCAACCTGTACTTAATCTTTGAAAACCTTAGTGGCTGGTGTGAGGGAGATGAGAATTACTGTGTAGGACAACTTTCATGATCACTAACAGAATTACTGCTCTCTACTGGGTCAATGGAATCTTTTAATCTTTTGTGCAACTTTTTTATTTTGTGCAACTTTAATAAGGAGCCTATCCAGTGCCACTTGCTTTTAGCCTCTTTTTGGAGTTTTTTTTTTTTTTTTTCGGTTTTGGTTTTTTGAGACAGGGTCTCACTGTGTAGATGAGGCTGACCTGGAACTCACTATGTAGCCCAGGCTGGTCTCGGGGATCCTCCTCCCTCAGCCTCCCAAGTGTTGGGATTATAGGCATGCCCCACCACGCCTGGCCACCTGACATTGTTCTTAAACAGATTCATTGCACTGCTGCAACTTTATTGGGATGGTTCTTTCCAACAAAGTTTTGCGCTTTTTCCCACCTTTTACACATCTCCCAAATCTCATTTGAAGTGAGAGAGTCTACCTTTTTTCCTTGTCTGCAGAGGAGATCTCCACAATCTTTTGTTGTTGTGAGACAGTTACACCGAAAAGAATATTGGCTCACGTGATGTTCCATGTCACACATTACTCATGTTGTATTGGAAGACATTGCTTGTTTTATCAAGTTAAAATTTATTAGCAGTGTTTTCTTGTCTTGCTGAATATTCTCAAAACAAGTTATTTGTAATCCAGGGTTTTACTGCACTTGGTAATCATAGCTGACTGTATCATAGCTTTATGTATTTGATGGTGTACCATTTTTTAGAGTGTATTCCTAAATCTAAAAAATTTACTGAGGGCTGGGGATTTAGCTCAGCAGTTCCGTCGCCTACCTTGCAAGCTCAAGGACCCGAGTTCGATCCCCGGTACCCCCCCAAAAAAAATTTACTAAAGCAAGTGGGGAGTGGTGGTGCACACTGTAATCCTCCTACTCATGAGGCTGAGGCAGGAGGATTGCTGTGAGTTCAAGGCCAGCCTCGACTACATAGTGAGCTCAGGATCAGCATGGACTATGTAGGGAGACCCTACCTCAAAAAAAAAAAAAAAAATTTTTTTTAAACCAACAAAAAAAGGTTTACTCTGAAATAGGATGTTGTACTGTGCTAGAGATTTGCCATGTGTTGGTTGTTTCATCTGTTCTTGATTTAATCTGGTGTTTTGTTCATGGTAGCACTAGGAATAGTAGCCCATTTATGTACATCAAATAGACTAAAAGCTTGTAGAAGGCTCTTCCATCTAAGTTTGTATAAGTACCATCTAACTTTGCCCAGTGATGCATTTCCTATCTATCTTTAATGTGATGTGTGACTGTTTTTAATTTTTTCAAGTGCTGTGTAACAGAATTATTTTCCAGATACTTTTTTTTTTTTGAGACAGGTTCTCACTCTGTAGCCCAGGCTGGCCTTGAACTTGCAGCGATCCTCCTGCCTTAGCCTGAAATACCTTTTTTCAGGTTGTTTTCCTTGTTCTGTAGAAATAAAAGTGATGTATCAATCTTGGTGTATAACTGCTGGATTTACTATCTCTAGTAATGTTCTTGTGAATTGTTTTCTGAGTCAGTTGATTGTATATGTATGTTTGTTGTTTTTGTTGTTTACTTTTGTTAAGATTATATGTGATTTCTAGCCTGTTAGTGAATTTCTGTGAAATTTTCTTGTCATTTACATTTTATTTTCCTTTTTAGATATTCCGTTTCATTCATATTTGGAACTGATTTTGAATTTATGCAGTTTAGTTGATTGTAGGCCTTTTTTTTTATGGTGATACAAGTATTGAACCCAGGATCTACAACGCAGAGTTACACAAGTGACAAGAATTTGGGATTCTTTTGTCTCAGACTGAAAGGTGGCAGAATTATAGTATAGGCGAGTGTGCCTGGTTCTATTATTTGCTTTAGCAGATGTTACCATTTTCTACATTTTTTTCCCCATTTGTGAGGGCAGGCATTTAATTTTCTGCCTATTTTAACCTACCTGAAAACATTTTTAAATAGGCTTTTTTTTTTTTAACTAATACGATATATTTTTCATATAGGTGCAGTGTAGGCATCCCTAATCTGAAGCTGAAAATGCTCCAAAATCTAAAACTTTTGGGTCCCTTTGCTTGATATGAGACGTGAAAAATTCCACACCTGATCTTATGTGATAAATTTCAGCCAAAATATGGGTGAATTTAAAATACTGTATGAAATTAAGTTTAGACTCTGTATGTATACAAGGTGATTATGGAACATAAATTAATTTTGTGCTTAGGCTTGGGTTCTGTCCCCAAAATAATCTTATTATGTACTGTATATGTAAATAAAATCTGAAATATTTCTGGTCCCAAGTATTAAGATACTCATCCTGTATCTATTTTCTTTCTTATTAGTCAGATACAATTTGAAGTATGTCTAATTATTTTATTTTCTCTGTTGTAAAAGTGTTCTATATTGTACATGATCTATTTCATTGATCTTTATGATCTTGCCTTTTATAAGTGTAAGAATTATGTTGTAACATAATAGGTTTTATGTAATTTGTCTTCCTTTTAGACTTTGAAATCCTCAGAACGTATATTAAGTAAATTAAGAATAGTGTCTATTTTATTTCTTGAAGATCAATACTTTGAAAATAGTTTTATTACAGGCAGTGAAAGAAATAGGCTCTGCAGAGTGAGTTTGGGTGAAGTAAAATTAAGAAAAGAGTACATCCTGCAGCATGAGTGTGGGCCACCATGCAAGAGAGAGAACAATGGCCAGATCAATAATTTCTTGATAATTTTTCTCTTAGACCTTGCATCGAAGTGGGAGTTTCATCAATTCTTTGCTACAGCTGGAAGAATTAGGATTTCGTAGTGGAGCACCTATGATTAAAAAAATAGCTTTTATTGCTTGGAAGAGCTTAATAGATAATTTTGCTTTAAATCCAGGTACGTAAATTAGTATTTTTTGTTTCCTTTGAATTCATTTCTCTGTTTTACATTTATTCTTATTTATTTATTTAATTTGAGACAGAGTTTTGTGATGCAGTTCAGGTTGGGCATGAACTCAGTTGTGTAGCCAGGCCAGTTTTGAAGGAGAGGTGATCCTCCTGCCTCAACCTCCCCAGTGCTGGGATTAGAGTTGTGAGCCACAATGCCTGGCCCATTTTATTTTAAAGTAAGACTAAACAGTGATACTTTGCACTGTTATGGAAACAGTATCATTAACCTTTGTTTTTGAGACAGGATCTTGCTATGTAGTATAGTTTGGCCTTGAACTCACTAGTCCAAACTGGCCTCAAACTTGTGACCCTCCTGCCTCAGCCCCCTGAACGATGGGACTACAGATGTGTGCCAACATGCTCAGCAGTATCATTATTTTTTTATTTTTTTATTTTTTTTGGTACCAGGGATTGAACTCAGGTCCTAGCACTTGCGAGGCAGGCCACTAACCGCTGAGCTAAATCCCCAGCCCAGTATCATTAATTTTTAAGGAAACATGAGCAAATTTGTAGTGAAAATAGAATTTAAGAGGACATTGTTTAAAATTGTTAATGTAACATTTGTTTTAAGTTAGTTGAAAAACTGAATAAAGTGAAAAATACCTTTTGTGGTATTCTAGCACCAAGCTAAACATTCAGGTTTCTTCTTGGTGCTATAAATTGAACCCAGGTCCTTGTACATCCTAGGCATGCACTCTGTCACTGAGCTACATCCCCAGCCTAAGTGACAGAGTAGTTGTAAGAAATATATATATGAAAGTTGGTTTGACTGATGTTTTCAAGGTCCTTTGGAATTCTGTCTTTTTTTTTTTTTTTTTTTTTGGGTTT